TATACCATACCCATGCCTATACTGATGGTTATAGCACCCGTGATCTGTTGTCTCATATACCATACCAATGCCTATACTGATGAATAGCACCCTTGCTTGAGTCTGTTCTTATATATTTACCACACCTATGCCTATACTGATGATTATGCCCCCCATGCTGTGCTTTTATATGTATACCACCTGTTCTCTGTTCTCTCATATACCCTGTCCTATCTATATATTCTCACCAGTTTGTCTCACGACTAAGTGTATTTTCTTCAATTTTTTTATTTTGTAGATAAACCTTCTTTCGTTCTTAATTCAAACAAAATAAGGTAAGAAATTCGAGATAAAATCGCATGCGCACTGAAAACGACTATAAACTGGCTTATCATTTGGTGCCAGCAATGCATCTTTACAAATACTGAAAAAAGCATTGAAAAAATATTAATTGGCGCTGGTTTACAGCATAGTATATTGCTCAATTTGACATATAGTATATTAAGATATTGTACGAGCTTTCTCGCCTAACTTTTGTGGTTTGTTTAATTATTTAATGTATTCATTATTCTTGAGAGAATAATGTGGAATTAAATATAGCGAGCAATTATGAGGGTGCCACCGAATGGGGTAACTAGGTAACTGACATTTGACCAAAAAGAAAACAGAAGTTAACTGACAAATAACCTAACATTAGTAGTTTAACTGATCGATATTTCATTATTGTGGTTAATATTATGGCCAACGCTCGTAAAATTATTACAGTTAAATGACATTCAGTGGAAAAATTAGTAGCTAACCAACAATTGAGTACACCCCCATTGGTATCCTTAAATATTAAAAATTATGCGTGGTATGTGTTTATAAATAGAAGGAGTTAAGCGCCTTAAGTACGTTTTAATTTTCTCGACGATCGGTAAAATTCAATTCGATCAAGCCTAGTAATGACTAATAATAGATGATGACACATATTATGAAGTCACATGTTATACATGTTTTATATATATGAAGTCCGCCAGATGGTCTGAAATAGTGATGTCTAAATGACGTCACTGCAAAACTGAGGTCATGAAGCCAGCAAAAATTGACCACAGAAAAATAAAAAAACAACTTGCCCTCTATTGAAATAAAAATATCAAAATCATTAATTATGGTGTCATTGTTTTAAAGCACGTATTCGGCAAGGTTATTGATTTTTTTTCTTTTCATTCGATGGCCTGGAAATCCAAAAAGTTAAAGAAAGTTGCCTTCTACGTTCCAGGGGTTAGAAAATTATCGAGGTAGAGAATGAGATCTTGCATTAACTTCCCCCACCCTACCCCCCTGAGTGTCCCAATAATGTTCAATATTTACCAAGTTGTCCCCTACCCACTCCTCCCTTGTGCTTCAGTTCATGCAAGTCTTCAGAAGTCTTTACAAATGAGAATCAGTCTTTTCTTTCTCAAAATGTCCCATTTCTCCAGGAATTTCTTCAAAGTTATCTTCCTTATCGACTGCTTTATTATTGCTACCACCGCCGTCTCTTCTTTCTTCTTCTTTGTCGTCGTCTTTAACGGTATCCTTTGCCCACCATTCAACCCACCACACTCTACCAAGCATTACATCTCTTCGTCGCCCTGGAAACGATGCCGAAGACTTCATAGACTTATAACAAGGTAGCAGGCCATCTTCCTCGTAAGTGGGAACTTCACTATCAAGGTCGAACTCCTTAACATAATAACTAGTGAAAGGCCATCGAAGATTGATGACGCTACGGGTTGCCAATGTGTTGTCAAGTGCGATGTTGTTGTTTAAATCCCCATCTTGGACTTCGATTTTTTCTGGACAACTTTCAGGTCTAGTACCTAGGTAATAATCGTAGACTACTTCATGTGAAGGCATAGTTGTGTCAGATAAGTAAGGGATTTCTTCGTTGACGCCTTGTGCTGGTTCCTTATCGTCATCGCCCTCTTCTATCTCGTAATCTCCTGATGACGCGGTTGAAACTGAAGCTGATTCTTCGTCTAGGAAATCGCTATCAGTGTCATCATCATCTGTGGAAGAATAATCACTGTCATCGTCGTCTTTCACTTCAACCTCTTCAATCCCATCGTCTGAACCTTCGTCTTCTAAATCTGTTTCTTCAACATCGCTGTTGTCACTATCGTCTTCAGATTCCGCCTCGTCGTCTTGTGAATGTTTTTTCGCATACTTTCGCATAACTTTATTAACGGCTTTTTGCTTCTCAGCTTCGGAATCCGAACCCTCCGATTCTGATTCGGAAGACGAACCAGAATCGATTGTATGGCTGCACAGCTTATTTATGTGCTCTTCTAGATCAAAGTCATCATCATCGGAGCTTCCATCATCGCGGGGAGACCAATGTCCAGTTTTTACGTCGTCGTCGTCCAGTGATTCTAATTCCGAATCCGGCTCGGATTCCGATAAGGATTCGGTATCCGTCGCGACCGACGACTCTGGCTCCGATTCTTCGTCTGCATCACTATAATCTTCTTCCGGTACTTCTTCTATTTCTTCTTCTACTTCCTTTACTTTTTCTTTATCGTTTTCTTTCACATCTTTTGTAAAGTTTGTTGCGTTATTAGCCGCGACATTATCCCGCAAACTGTTAATGGCAACTTGGTTCGTTGCCTCGTGGCTTTGCCGCTGTTTATCTTCGCTTTTCAACATTATTTGTCGCACCTCTTCATCCAAGCTATCCGTATCTTCCGAAATACTCAAACTTACACTCTTTGAGGTTAGCGGCGTTTCTGCAGGGGAAGACTTTTCGATTGGCACCTGTTCTTCTTCACCTCCATTCTCGAAAATATCAGTAATGCTCTTAAAGCTCTCCAACAGTAACCTCTCTTCTAGCTCACTATCTTCTTCTTTGATCGATTCTAGCGTTGATGCCCTCGATAAAAGAGCCCTTTTCATATCAAGGTCTGTATTTTGGTTGCTGTCCTCACTTATGTCCGTGCTGGTTTGTGTGGGGCTCGAAGCTGATGGAGAATCGCTGTTTACGTTCTCATGAATTTTCACCTGCCCGCTATGGTCATCGTGTTTTTCCGCCATGCTGAGAGCTTAACTTTCTGCTAATTACACTCCTGAGATCTTATCTTGTAGTTAGCATAGCCTCTTTGTTCGTTCTAAAAAAACAATAAGGGAATAGTTAAGCAGAGACTATTTTTAACGTGTGCTAATAGGGCTGTCAATTATGCTTAATTTTTGGGCCCAATTATTGTAAATTTGCTCAGTTAGATGAAATTTAATATTGAATGCTATATAATGAAGCTGATGTTGTACCAGCCTATTACTGGTGTATACTCCTTCATGCTGCTAATGCTGCTACTGCTGTTACTGCTGCTCACTACTGCTACTGCTGCTGCTACTGCTGCTGCTACTGCTGCTGCT